CAGCCTGCGGGGCTCGCCCACTGTCCCGTATTCTCCGCTCCGTGGGTCCCAGCTGGTCTTGGGCACAGGACTGTCGGGGTCTGGGCCGCGGCCGGGCTGGGAGGGGCTTCCCGGCCGGTGGGTGCTTCAGCACCGGGCAGCAGGCGAGCTGGGTCGCCCCGCCCAGAAGAAAATAAAAAACACCGGAGGGTCCCGCAGCTTGGCCAGGAGCCCAAGGACACATGAGAAGGGAGGCGGGCCACCAGGAGACCCCCGAGGGGCCCCGGGTACATCGGGACCCCTGCAGCCGTGACTTGGGCCTTCTCCTGTACTTCCCACTGGACTCCCCCTTCCGCAGTGCTCCTGGGCGCTGGGCAGAGAACAGTGCTCTTGCGCGGCCTGTTCGATGCCCGTTTTACACCCGATCTGAAGCACAATCCAGCCGCCGGGCTGCTGGCAGTGTCCTTGGGATCAGAGGCTCCCTCACCGAGGGAGGGGCTCTGGGTGGTGGTTGCCCCGGGGGCCACTGCGGCTCCCTCGGGAAGGACAGGGTTTGCGCGGTCAGCGCGGCACCTCCTATTAAACGGATGCTTTCTGCAAGCTCAGGGCTGTTGTGAAGCGCCCCCACGGCGGTGGCCTCCTCATCCAGCCTGGGGCCCCGCTCCCAGCTGCTGGCTTTCAGGAGCTAGAAACACCTGCTGTGATACCCCTGCCCCCCCCCCCAGAAAGCCCTGTCCCCAGGGAAGGCCGCTGGCCTTGCCCCAGCTGGAGCAGGAAGCAAGGCCCCTGGCTGGGGGAGGGTGGGGGGTGAGCCCCCGGGGTGGGCATGGGGACCCCAGGTCCTGCCTGCAGCAGAGAGCAGCGGCTGCGGGGCGTTGGGCGGCGCGTGCCTCGCCGGCACCAGGCCCTGCAGCCTTGCTCACACAGCACCCCAAGGGGCCCAAGGGGGAGGCCGGCGCGGCTCCTGGGTGCAGGTGGCTGGGGACAGCCGGGTGGTAAAGGAACAATCATGGACGCAGGGCGGGATGGGACCCAGGGACCTGTCCCTCCTTCCTCGGGCAGCCTGGGACTCCCTGCCCTGACAGTGTCCACAAGCCCTCGAGCAGTGGTGCTGGAGACAGGTGTCAGAAAGCGGCTGGGGCTGGGCAGGGGAACCCCAGAGCTCTGCATGGAACGATGGGCTGCAGACGTGGGCACGGGTGGCCTCTGAGGGCCCGGACCAGCCCAGTGGGGTGTCGGTGGCTTCTGGGGTCCCCCGTGGCCCACCACCTGCACAGGGCGCCCGACACCCCTCCTGGCACCCCCGCCCCAGCTCCCTGAGGGACGAGCACACTGGCAGCGGGGAGGGGACCCCGCCTGGTCACCGGACGAGGCCCCATCCGGTGTTGCGGCCCCTCCAATTCCACACTGGGACGACGCTGTCCGGGGGAGTCCCCGGACTCGAGTCTGCAGCTGACAGGGCGGGGCGGTGGGCACGGTTCCTCCTGGCAGGGACAGACAGCCCCCTCGCACTACACGCCACGTAAGGAGACGAGAGGTCCCGCAAAGGGGAAGGAAGTGAACACCAGGCCCGGCCAGTGCCCGGCGTGGCCAAGAAAAGGTGACCCCAAGATTTCGTGGTAGAAGGCCTCAGCACAAAATCAGCGAGAGGCCTTTGTTTTCCTCATTCCCAATCTAACAGACATCTGCCCAAAGCAACAGGCCCCTCACCACGCCGGGCGGCTTCCGCTTGTGTGAAAGGGGTGATGGTGTCGGTGCCCCCAAGGGTCAGAAATAAGGTGCTCATGTCCCCACAAAGTGTTATCAACGTGCATGAGCCTGAACGTAAGTCACAGGCACCTGAAAATCTCAACAAGTACAACAGAGGTGCCAGGAGAGAACAGGATCTGGATCCCATAAAATACCGATTAAAACCAGGGAAGGGGGGCAAAGAGGAAGGGAGGGTGAGGCAGTGAACAGCAGGCAGGAGCAAGGTGCCCGCCAAGCCTCCCAGGCCTGTGCCGACGCCCAGCACTGAGGACACTGGTCGGAAGACAGCCACGAGCAGAGGGAGAACGGGGCCCCCGCCGCGGGGGGCCAACGCGCGGCTCTTCGGGCCCGTGCGTCCGCGGTAAGGCCGCACATTGGGCCCCCCAGAGCCCCCGAGGCAGGCAGCCCTGCTCTTGAACCCCAGCTTCACCCTGGTGCATATACCCACAGTCTCAAAGGGGCCTTTTCCTTTTGGGGCTCAAGTTTGAGGAGTCTCGAAAGCTGCCCATGCCGTGCTGGGTGGGCGTCTCAGGAGTCTCAGCGTTTTCTTATGAAATGGCCAGCGAGCGCTCCTGAGGGCTGGGCGAGTCCGCCAGGCCGAGGGCCGGGGCCGCAGGCTGAGAGGCGCCAGTCCAGGCCCTCGGTCCACCTGCCTGGGGCTCGGGGAGCACCTCCCGACGCCCTGGGCCCGGCCGCCTTCCTTCCCAGGGACGTCCGCGGGAGCTTGGGAGGCGCAGGGACCCCGCAGGGTGGGGCCTCCCGCCTGAGCCTGTCCACCGGGCTGGCCGGGCCGTGCAGCACGTTCCCGCAGGAGCCCGCAGCGCTGCTGGTGCCCCCCGCCTCACTCTGGCCACAGAGCGCCGCGTGGGAAGGACACCGCTGGGTCTGACCGGCAGCCGCAGGCCTGGCCCGGAGCCCAGGCCCCAAGGGTGGCCGCTGCTGTCCGTGAGGCTGCAGGGCGCCCACCTGGAGGCCAGCGGGCCCCGCCCGGTACACACGGCTGGCCCGGAGCGCCTCCCTGTGGGGGCACTGCCCTTCCCGCAGCCCTGCCTCTGTGGAGGGCCAGCCTCGCCCCACAGCGGCGCAGCCCGGCAGGCCCACAGGGCCCGCCCCCTTGTGGCTGGGGTGGTCCCTGTCCCTGGTCGGCGCCTGCAGGGCCCTCCGTCGGGGGTGCTGGTGCCGCCACGGGACAGGAGCAGGGGAGCCCCTGCGAGACCAGAGCAGCTCGCCCGTGGGCTCGGAGCGGGGCTCTGAGGGCCAGGGGACAGGCAGGGGCCACGTGGTTCTATGGGAGGTGTGACCCCCAGCAGCCGCCCCAGCGACCTGACCCTGGACAGCGAGCGGTGCTCAGACCACACCTTCGTCCCCGGGGGCTGGCTGTGGGCACATGGGGCCACCGCACAAGGACGCCTGGGAGTCGGGCTGCATCCCGAGTGAGGGGTCTTGGTCTCCGCATCGATCGCCTGGTGAGGAAACGCCCAGACTGCAGGGCCTGGTTTGTTAGCTTCCGGCTGTCAGGGCTCTTGGCAGGGAAACCTGGCTCCAATGGGCGACAGAAACGGTGAGAGAAGGGGAGGGGAGGACAAGGAGCCTGGGGTTCTCATCAGAGCAAGTTCCACCGAGTCACAGCCGCAGCTCGGCCTCCGCGGGGTCCGCGCCTGTGGCAGGCGGCCCAGAGCCCAGCGAGGGCTGGACCCCTAAGGGGAGGCCTGGCGCGAGAGGCGCAGCCCTGACCCTGGCTTCCCGGGTGACGCCGGCAGCCCGGCCGGGACAGCGATGCCGGCGCAGCCAGTGCTGCCACGCATGACTCCGACACACACGGCCAGGAAGGTGCCTGCAGGGGCCGCTCCCACGCGTTCACCCCGCCCAGGCGCCCGGCCCCTCGCGCATGTGGGTCGGTGTCCACTCTGAAACGCTACCCAAGTCAAGTTGAACGAGGATCTCTCTTCAGGTGACCGCTTTCTTCCCTGCCGCCCCGCCCGCTCACCCCCGCCCCCCCCCCCCCCCCCAAGTACCTGGTTTCGATGAGTCAGCCTGACCTCAGAGCACTTGGGAGTCGTGGCGCTTTCCAATTCTGCCGAGTGAAGCGTGTGCCCTGGGCGCCGAGACCTGAGCGGAGCCAGCCCTGCGGCGGCCTGGCAGTGGGCGCGAGTCCAGGGCGCGCCCGCATGTGCCCGCGTGCGCTCACCCTCACGTCTGCGCACTTGCGCACACATGCACGAGGTGCAGCTTGGGATGCGTGTACACAGTGGGACTCACGCTCTCGGGGCCTTTACCTGCAGCGCCTCCCCTCCTCTGGGGCCCTGGAACACAGCCGTCACTGCGGCGTCCGCCACTGGCCGGCACCCTGTACGGAGTCACCCACCCGGGCTGACGAGCGGCCTGTCCTGTTACAGGCTTGGGGAGGCGACGCAGGGGTCTGCCCATAGAGCCTAAGAAAGTTGCCACGGGACACAGATCTGTGGGTGCTCTGGAGACGTGTCCCAGACTTCTCACAGTGAGAGAGGCCTGGACACCCGGGACGTCGAATGGCAGCTGCTGCGTCCGAACTCGTCGGCAGAGCAGGACACTTGCCGCGTGCCAACGAGCAGCTCTCGGGGGGGTTCCGTGTTCACAGGTCCCATCAAGGGAACCCGGGAGCGGGCGGGAACGCACCGTCCCAGCACCGCGCCGCAAGCCGCCTGCATCTCCCCGGAAAGCTGCGCTGTGGGCCAGGCCTTCCCTCCCCCGGCTGGGGGCCCGCCCCCCTCAGGCTGCCTCGGCAGCGCCCGGGCTCCGCCTTCAGGACAGGCGGCAGGACTGTGTGACGAGAACGTGGCTTCACAGAGGAAGCCATGCTGTCACTTCCTAATTAAAGGGCTGTCCGTTGGCTAAAAACAGCATGAAACGCCTCTAAACCAAGTAGCTGGGGACACTGACCAAGAAATGAGCCATGACCACCTCACACACGCGCTTAATAAAAAGCAAATCAATTACTTTATTACAGTTTAGTGCTTTCTTAAAATAAATATCGTAGGATATCAAACAGACAGTGAGGAACAAAGCACATCCGTGCAGAGCACGTAACAGGGTTCACGGGACGTCTGACACGCGGCCCCTCAGGCCACAGCGCCCCCCCGCGGGCACAGGGCAGAGCCGCTGGCCGACGCCATACGTACACAACCGCGACCAGCCGTCCCCTCAGAGCTGAGGACACCGGGGAACCCATGTCCCTTCCAGGGTCCGTACCGCCTTCCCCCGCCCCCCCCCCACCTAAAACTATGAGACAGTCACACTCGTCTGACGTCCTACCAACCTTCCGTTTTGCTCTGCAGTGCGAGACAGATTCAAGTAACACTCCCAAGAAACTGTGCAAAACCCACAGGAGCGGCTCCAGGCTCTCCCAGCAGTCGGAGCAGCTGGCTGCCAGGCCATGCCGGGCAGGGCCGCGCGCCGCCCGGGGCACATCTGCTCTGGAGAAATGTGAGACCGTGAGGCCTGGGAGAGGGCCCAGGGCCTCCCGCCGACGCGGAGCTCCGAGAAAACCGCCAGTGACCGCGTGACGGTTCTCAGCCGCGGCCAGAGTGACCGGTGCGGACCAAGGCCTGTGCTCCTCCAGGGTGCGCCGCTCCGCCTGACGCAGGAACCAGGACGGACGAGTCATGACAACAGGAACGCTAAGAGAGCCGTCGGCTCAAGTGTATCACCTCTGAAGAGAGCATGCTGAGTGAAAAGTAGTCTACTTTACCCAAATCTGTCTTTATTAAAGTGAACAAACCAGTAGAGCACTACCCAAACGTGGTGAACGACGCCCAGTCTGCTCGGCTCACCCGTCTCCCGGGAGGCACACGCCCGCTCGCAGGCCCGCGCGGCACCCCCACGCCGCCCGAAGAGCCGCCTCTGTGCTGGGAACGCGACCGCAGCAGAGACAGACCTGCGGATTCCAGTGCTTTAGTGAACTGCTATCTTCAGTAAACTTTTTCTGAGCAGCAAGGATCAAGAATTATTTTCAGAAATCTTAGAATTGGATATAAACGTTGGCAGTAGACACAATCAATAAATATCATACAATTTCCCCAGTGAACAAGACCCCCCCGCTACGAGTCCCTTTCCTGAAGACATTCAAGCACCCTGACCGCAGAGCCCGCCTCGGTCCTCCTGCCTCACGAGGTCGCCGCCGCCAGCGTGAGGGGCCGAGCCACGTGCAAAGGGGGTGAGGCGAGAGGCCAGAAAGCAAAGTCAGTCGCTTCTAATTTATACTGAAGAACTTCAAGTAAAAGGAATCCTGCTCCACACACCCCTCGCCAGGGGGCTGGGGACGGGGGGACCCCGCGTGCGTCCCCCCAGCGTCCCGTGTGCAAGGAGTAAGCGGTGGTTTCCTCTGTTGTTCAGAAGTCTCTTCAAAAAATGTCCGTGACTCCGCACACTTCGTACCCAAATGAAGGAAAATAAACATCGACCGCGGGCAGCTCCTCAGCCCATGCGGGGCACCTGTCACTTGCGCGTCTGGGCCTTCTTTGGCACTGCGGGCCGCTTGGGCTGCCACAGGTGGTTATGGATCGTGAGAGCGTCCACGCTGACGGACATGGTCTTGGCTGGAATCAGGTTGAACTGTTTCCGATCTGAGCTGTACTTGTACAGTTTGTCGATCATCTTCTTGGTGATGCTCTTTGGCCCCGTGCCGGTGAGTTTGTAGATTTCTTCAGTGTCGGGGTAGTAGCAGTAAAGTGCCCGGAACTGGCAGCCGGCGTCGCGGAACAGGATGATGTAGTGGTTGGCGTCGCACTTCTCCAGCTCCTGCACCGGGGAGGAGGGAAGAGACGGCAGAGCCTCAGACTGGCTCCAGCTGCCACGCCAGCCCCAGCCGCCCGCCCTGCGGGAAGCTCGTGGAGGGACAGCCCCCATGGCCAGACGCCCGACACGCCGGGCAGCAGCTCGAGGTGGCTTCGAGGAAGAACCGAGTTGGGCAGAGAAACGGGGGTCCGCACCAGGACGGAGCTGGGGGCCTGGCGAGAAGCCTTCTGGTGCAGAGTGGGGACGGGAGGCCGGGGTGGGGGTAACCAGTGGACTTAGCGTGGTGGCTGAGGGCAGAGTGGCTGCAGGTAGAGGAGGTGGGTGTCAGGTGCCACTGAGGCTTTACTTCCACACGGTTTGCAAATTCAGGGAGAACTCTCATGGAAGAGGCTCGACATCGTTAGCCCCCAGGGACACAGCGAGACCCCTCGCCCCACCACAGGACGCTGCAACCAGACGGGGAGTGGCGCTGCGAGGGTGGGCAGACGGGAACCCTCACGCTGCTGAAAACGTCAGACACCCTGAGCACGGGACGCAGCGCTGCTTCTCAAGACTAAAATGGGCGCCCCCGGGACCGCGCACAGCATGTTCAGAGGAGCAGAGTCATCGCAGCCAAGAAGCAGGCGCAGCCCCGGAAGCCGCGGAGGGCACGGGCACACAGGCGCGCTCTGTGCTCGCAGGGGACGGGAGAGGGCCGTGCGGAGCAGCAGCCTTGGACACGTGCCGCGTGGGTGAGGCCCCGGTGGAGATTCCCTTCACATTACGCGTCCACAAGGGGCGGCAGGGGGGTCGTGGGAGACAGCGCCGGGGTAGGCGCTGCGGGAGGGCAACGGGTGCGGGGCTCCGGGGTGCTGGGACTCCCCGGGGTGCCCACCCCCCGTGCTGCGCGTGGACTAGCACCACTGAGCTGCATTCTAACGGGTGGACTTCGAGTGACGTGCTGGTAACCTGGCACGAAAGGACCTGTGCCAGGGTCTGCTGTATGGAGTTCTGACCTTTGAAATGTTTTTGTGTTAATAATCGCTGAAGTGCATTCTCCTCCTGCTTGACAGTACTTGGTAGAACTTTCTACGCGGCACTTCCAAAGTGAGGGCCGGGGTCCCCGAGGCCCGGGCCCTGGTGCACGGCTGGCCGGCCTGTCTTAGCGCTCAGCCTGACGTGGGGGCAGAGGGGACCTGGCGGCCCCACCAGGTGGGGTCAGGAGGGCCTGTGAGGCAGTAAAACGCCAGCCTCCTCGCTGGTTTTATTTTAGAAAATGGCTACTTTTCACACACACACATGTTGTTTTTGTCAGTATACTATAATGGACGTGTTACTTTAAACAAATGAATAATCAAATGTACATTTTTAAAGATTAAGTGGAAAAACAATGCCAAGCTATATATGTCATGGCAATTCTAACTACGTAGAAGTTGTGATCCAACACAAACACCATCAGGTGCACACGGACGGCCCCTCCGGCCGCCCTCCCCCCTGCCTGTCCTTGCCCTCCCCCCGCCCCACGGCCGGGCAGGAGGGGTCCGTCCGTGGCCCTTCGGCCCACAGCTGGGTGCGCTCTCACTCAACACAGAGCGGGAGTCCCCGCCGACAGCGGCCGTGCCACCCTGACGCCGCTCCCGCGCTCCAGCACGCCCAGCTCCCAGGAGCTCCTGCAGCCGCCACGAGCCCCCGGCCCCAGCCTGCGCGGCCCGCCCTCCGCTTCCAGGCCTCTGCTGCAAAAGCCCGTCTTTCTGGTAAGGCCCACCCTGCCCAGCTGGCCGCCCAGCTGGCCCTCCAGCCGCCCCTGGGCCCCAGCCTTCACCAGGTCCTGCGTCACTTTCCAACCTACGGCCCGAGGGCCAAAGGCAGCACCCGTTCTGTAAAGGCCACACCTGTCTGTTCGCACTCTGTCCGTGACCGGTTTTCACGCTGCAACATCAGAGCTGGCTGGACAGCTTTCCTGTGTGGCCTCTGTGGACGCAGCCAGGGACCCCGGCCCATCAGCCCCCAAGCCCAGGCGGCTGACTCGGTCCCAGCAGGACGCCCATGCCCAGTGCAGCGCAGCGGCACTGAAAGGGGAAGAGCCCCGGCTCCTGCGCAGCGGGGCGCCACCGCGCGCCCGAGCCCGTCAGGCCAAGGGCGCGCAGATCTAACCCCGACGCTCTGTTCCAAAAGACGCTCTGCCAGACTCCCCACTTGCTGAGGCTGTAGCACCTCTCCTCAGGGACGCCGGCCTGACCAAGGTCCCACAGGGGTGTAAACAGCATGGCCTCGGGCAAACAGTCAGCACAGAACAAGACCAACCAGCGCTGCCCCAGGCGTCCGCTTCTCCGGGGCCCAGGCTGAGCTGGAGCGGCTGCTGACACCCCTCCCCCTCCTTCAGCCCCTCCTGTCCCCACCCTGAGGCGTGTGGCCGTCCTCAGGAGCACACAGCCATTTCCAGGTCGCTCTGCCCCTCCTCCTCTACCTGCAGCCACTCTGCCCTCAGCCACCACGCTAAGTCCGCCGGTTCCCGCACTGTGAATGCAACGTTGCCCGTTCCCTCCACCCCGGCCTCCCGTGCCTACTCTGCACCAGAAGGCTTCTCGCCAGGCCCCCAGCTCCGTCCTGGGTGCGGCCCCCCGTTTCTCTGCCCAACTCGGCTCTTCCTCAAAGCCACCGCAAGCTGCGGCGTAACTCGGAGATGAGCCGGGGCTCCCACGTGCGTTCAAATGCACACAGCGACGGACCGGCCGCAGGTAAACAGCAAGAATGTCTGCCTTTAGAAGGAACCCCACCTTACAAACGCCCCTCCTCTCACACAAGCTCCTGCTACACACAGGTGCACGTGACACTTGCCTCTAATATGGAGTTCTTGTGAGGCTCGTTCACCTTCCCGGCCAGGCAGCAGTGGGACACGGCGTTATGGATGATGGGCTTGTTGGATTTGCTGCTGGGCTCCTTAAAGAGCTTGGGACCTACGGACACCGGGCCAGAACGTGCAGGATTAACATCCTAAGGCACACGTGCGCCAAAGAAAACCAACAGTTTCCTACGACCAAGCAACGGCCAGGCTGAGGTAGTGATGCCCGTGTGCTCTAAAAACAGAAGACCCCACCTCTAACCCATCTGAAAGAATTCTGAGTGACAAATCGTAAGTTAACTAAGGGAAAGGCTGGCTCGGCAGTAATTGACCCGCTTCCTAATTTCAGCGTCTCTGACCTAAGATGCACAAAAAGAAACCAGACAATAGTTTTTAAAGCCTAAGGTTCCAAAGCCCAGGACGCACAGCTCAGCCACAGGGCTGTGCAGACTGGCAGGAGCGTCGCCTGCCGCACGGCAGCTGAGAGCCAGGCCGCGTCTGCTACAGCGTCGCGGATGCGGATCCACGGCCACACAGGGAGCGCAGGGGCTGTCACCTGTGTACTCGGCCACCGAGGCGAGCGAGGACGCCGCGGACGCCGTCTCCCAGTCTCTGTCCGTGCTCCTGCTGGGGTTGCGGCTCAGCGTGGGCAAGGCCTCCAGCGACTCGACCCTGAGGGAGGGCACAGAGGGTGGACGGGCGGTCACAAGCACACACCCCTCACCACGGCCAGCCACAGGCCTGTGGAATCCACCCTGCACCTGGCCGGCCACCCCTCGGGCAAGAAGGACCATCAGCAGGGAGGGGACACCAGGAGGGATGAGCATGCCCCCCACCCCCAAACACAGCTATAAACTCTGGGCACGGTGCCGAGGCTCGGCCCAGGAGTGCCGGAAGTGGACAGGCTGGAAGGGAGCCCACCGCCGCTGAGAAGGCTGCCTCCGTGCAGCTGTTGGCAGGGGCGCGGGGCCATCTGTCCCACACAGGGACCAGCCCCCAGGAAGGAGGGGGGACACAGCTGGCCTCAGCGACTCTCGGTCTGAGTCCTGGCGGGCCTGAGCGGGGCCCTGCGGGGTGGGCAGCCAGCCGGGACTGCAGCAGTGTGCCCCAGGGGCGTGGCCGAGGCAAGCCGCCCCGCCCCGCCGGCAGCTGGAGCCCAGCCCAGGGAACCAACGGAACGAGAATTTATCCCGGATCGAGTCCCTGAGAGGTATCCTCCACAAAGCCCAGGCGACCAGAGGCCACCAGACCCATGAAGAGGCGAGACACTGTGGCTGTAACCACAGAACACACCATAAAGGACACCTCCTCCCACCACCTCCTCCCACATCACTTGCCAGTCAGAGGGGACTCGCTCACGAAGGGCCAGCGGGAAAGCCGTGCCTCCAATGCCCCCCGTCAACGTGTCAGGCAGCAACTGAGGAGGACACGCCTTCCCCTCTGGGCTGCTCCCGCTCAAACGCACTGCCTGGACCTGCACACGGGGACCCACACTGAGGGGCAGGCACCAAGTAGGTGGTCTGTACGTATCAAAATTGTCAGGGTCAAGACAGACAAAGGAGGCTGCAGAACCGCTGTGGCGCACATGGGTCTGACCGGGACCGTGACTGCAGAAACACGGCTCCCATGGCTCTTGGGGACACTGTCCAACAGCTGGGGACGCATGAATGTGGGCTGTGGAGCAGATGACAGTGATGGCTCGAACATCCCGCGCACAGGGTGCGCATGCCGAGTGTTTAAGGGCCGAGCATGTCTCCAACTCGAGAGTAAGAAGGCAGGCACACTGCGCTGGGCGGGCGGAGAACGACGCAGCCAGCACTGCGGGCTGTGTCCAGCCCGTGAGCCCATGGGCCCACGTCCCGGGGCCCCGTAGCACTGCCCGCACCGTGTCCTTACCGCTGCGCAGGCGTGCCCCCTGAATGAACGCTCTCAGGCTCGGTCGTCGCTGCGGAGGCCAAGGACAGGCTGGAGCCCGACTGGGCCCGGCTCAGGTTATCAGCTGCCAGAGACAAGAAACGCGCTCACGAAACATGGCTTTGTCCCTCGCCATGTTTGTGCAACAGAAAGAACCAGGGACCAGCTGCCACCTGAGTGACACCCCGAGCCATGCAGCCGATCGGCCTCCCCGGATCTGGGAAAGCCGCCTGCATGTCCGCAGGGCAGCACCCCTCTGGGTGAGGGGCCCACGCCGCCACCCGCACCACAGGCCTGCTTACGAGTCAAGGGGCACTTGGTCCCCGAGTCGTTGCGCGGCTCCTCCCGGTGCACGGACTTGGGCCGGGGCTTTCTCGGCTTTGCCTTGGAGTTGCCCAGCCCCTGCTCCTCTAGAATCTGTTGCTGCTTCCTCCGCAGGTACTCCTGCTTGATGAGCTCCCGCCGCGCCTTCTCCTCCTCCTTCCGTATCCGGTCCTCCTCGGCTTTCCGTCTGAGAAGACATTGGAACAGTCCTGGTTGTGGGGGTCCGCCCGGAGACAGCCAGGCACAGCCCCCCGCGGGACCCAGTCCCACTGCACAGCCGCCGCCACGCCTGACAGCATACATCCCATGTAGCCGGACGATGGGACAAATGCATACGGCTCCCGTGGCTGAGGCGGAGATTCCAGGAGGTGACCCCCAGGAGGTGCGTGAGCCCGAGTGGGAAGAAGATGACGTTGTGGCACAGATGCCATGAGGCTGCCCCCCACCCCGCGGAGCCAGGTTACCGGGCCTCGTCCCTCTTGAGCTCCACTTCCGCCTCCAGCTGCTGCTTCCGCACACGGGCCTCCTCGGCCTTGCGCTGCTGCTTCAGGAGGAAGGCTGCCCGCTTCTTGGCGAGCTCATCCTCCGCCTTCTGTTCATCCTGTAGAACAGACGCCGAAACGGTTCAGGGCCCGGCCTCAGCTCAGCCACACGCCGCCGTGCCCAGCGGCAGTCTGTGGCACAGGCTGAGAGCCCCTCAACGCACGCCCCAAAGGCTCGCTTACTCTTTCTAACGGAAGATCAGCCTGTCTTTATGAGGCTAAAATAGAGAAGGGAAAGACACCATCCATTTGAAAAGCATTCGTGAAGCTGTCAGTTCCCGAGGGGCCACACGGAATTTGGTCCGCCTTAAAAGCACACGCGTGCGTCCGCAGTCAGTCCCGCTCCCACGGCCCACCTTACAGCCCAAGCACCGAGCGGAGCGAGCGTCTGCTGCTCAGGCAGGTCGCACGACTCTGGGGTGGCTGCCCTCAGAGCGGCCAGGAGAGGAGGGCATGCTACTGAAACACAAAAGGGGCTCTCAAGACCCTTTTCTCTCCTCTTCCTAAGAACACGAGAAGCCGCGCACAGAGAGCACCACGAATGCTGTGCGTGTCTGCGGCCCTCAGACCCGCCCTGGGCACAGTGGGCCGAGGCCCACCGCCTGCTCCTGTGGGGCCTGTGAGCTAAGCCTACTTTCAGTTCAAAGTGACTGGAAAACTGTCCAAAGAAAATGACTTCTTGACAAAGGAAAGCTGCGTGAGGCCCGTGTCTCGGGCCACCGATCAGGCTCTGCAGACACACGCTCAGCCGGCAGGTGCTGGCTGCGCCACTGGGGGCGGAGCTGAGTCCTGGCGACAGACTGGGGACCGTAAGCTGCGCCTTTGCCCCCTGGCCCCGCACAGGCAGGTCTGCAGGCCCTGCTCTGAACGGAAGTTCTCTGTAACCAAACCCCGCCCCCCGACTGAGACCGAGTGACGACACCTGACCACACTGGACGCGGCGCTGCCAGCAACTTACCTTGAAGAAGAAGCCAACGCCCGGCTTCTGGTCGCCCTCACTGCTGAGACCCACCGCGCTCTCGTGGCTGTCCGTCTGCCCGTCCTCGTCGGGGGCCTTCAGGTCGGACAGGTCCACCTCAATGAGGCTGGCCTTGCTCCTCGGGGGCCCGTCCGTGGGGGTGCCCTCCTTTCCTGAGACAGCTGGGGCGCTGAGCCCCGCCTCCTTCACGCCAATGTCCAGTCCCTCTTTGAGGCTCATTTGTTCCGACAGAATGTTTGCGTCCTTGGACGAGGACAGGACAAACGCCCGCTGGTTGCTTTCATCATGGAGCCGGTAACTGTCGAAGAAGCCCTTCTCGTGAGGGTCACTCCCAGGGTCTGCAACGCCATCCCAGCCCGGTTCAGAGGGCGTCCGAGGCGGGAAAGGCCGTCCGTGCGGGAGGGCCTCCACGTTGGGTGTGGGGGTTTTGCTGCGGGAGCCCTGCTGCCTGTCTTTCGCAACCTTCAGCTCAGCTGGTCTCCCCAACCGGGAATTCCGACCCTGGCCCAGGCGGGGAGGCTTGCGGTGGCCCGTCACTGCAGTTGGAGAGAGCGGCTCCACAAAGTGGATGGACGCCTGGCCCTTCGGGTCCTGGGCGTTGTTTCTGGAACCCGGCGCTGGCGCTGCGGGGGACTTCATGAGCAGCTGCTCCTGCTGCTGGGAGATCTTCAGGATGGCCTGCTGCAGCGTGCTGATGGTCTCGTTGAGCTTCTCGATGGAGAGGTCGCACTCGCCCACGTCCGCCGCGTCCCCGGCATCCTCCAGCAGGGCGGCAGACAGCGCTCTGCCCTTCTCCAGCTCCGGCAGGACGGCGGGGTCCTTCAGCGTGAGCTGCGGAAGGAAAGCCAAGCCCTCTCTGTCCATGTCCTGACCCTCGCCGAGACTGTCCCTGCCCAGGTCCCTGACCAGAAACACGTCCGCCCTAGACACGGCGCTGTCGCAGTCCTCCCCGTTGTGCGGCGAGCACTCCCGGGACCCGTGCTCCGGCTTCAGCGGCTGCGGGGTGGCCTCGGCCTTGCCCTTCTTGACCACGTGCAGGAAGGCCGCCTTCCCCAGCTTCAGGCGCTGCCGGGCGGACAGCGCCTCCATCTTCTTCTTCTGGGCCTCGATGGCCCTCCGCTTCTCCTCCAGCTGCATGTGCAGCTGCACCAGCTCGGAGGCCAGCAGGCTGGCGTGGTCCCGACCCTGCCGGCCGGGGCTCTGCTCTCTCCGCTGCTTCCACGTGGTCAGCGGGGCGGGGCAGCACTCCGAGGCGTCGGGCGTGGTCTTCTGGGAGCTGCTCGTACTGGACTTGGTCTCACAGCTGTTGAGCCGCTGGAGCTTCCTTTCCGCGAAGCTGGTCATCTTCACGCTCCCGCTCGCCATGGAGACGCTGCTGACCTGGGAGACGGTGCTCAGGCAAGGGCTGGAGCGGCCGCTGGCGTCGTCCTTGTCCTCGTGTTCCTTCACCTTCATGTCCTCCTGCAGCTTGGCCGATTCCTCCTCGCCCACGTACTTCGCCAGCAGCGCAGCGCGGTCCTCGCCGATGTAGTCGGGCTCCACCTCCTCCAGGTCCGCGACGTCCGAGTCGGAGTCCTGCCTCAGCACAGTCCAAGGCTCTGGGTCGTGGGCGCGGGGGCTCCTCGCACAGCCGACCGAGAGCCTTCCATCCACGTCCTCGTCGGCTCTGGCCACGTGAAGAAAGAAGCCATCGGCAGACTGTCCCTGAGACATCAGGTCGAAACTACCGCTGGACAGAGACCCGCCACGGGTTTCCCCGGCCTGCGGCCCCGCCTCAGCGCGCAGTTCTGAAGAAGAGATGGGGGTAAAAGTCCTATTCAAGTCACGACTGGCATGACTGCTGGGCGTCCTCCTCCGCCCCGGCGGCGGGTGGCCCTCGCCAGGCCGCCTGGCCGTACAGCTTCTTGGCCGCCCTTCGCCACACTCGTCCTCCTTGGCGACCACCTGCTTCTCCTTGGCGGGCCGGAGCACGGCCGGCATCAATGGCTCCAAGAAGAAACTGTCCGGCTTACTTTCCAAGGTGCCCGCCAGTCTCTGGGGAGACCTGGCTCCTGACACGGGGCCCAGGTCACCGCCGTGGGGAGCCCCGTCCGTTCTAATGATGGCCACGAGCTCTTCGTCCTCGTCCTCAATGTCGACGTTATTCAGGAGGCTCCTCCCATTGGCCCTCAGGGCAGAGGGGTGTGGCTGGTTCTGCGGGGTCAGGGTGATGACGTTGGATGCCAAGCTGTCCTTGCTGATGGAGCGGGCCAAGCTGACGCTGTCACCAGAGCCAGGGTCCGCTTCGCAACTCGCAGCGTGATGGAGAGCAAAGGGCGCTGGCTGAGACACAGGCCTGCAAGGCGAAGGAGAAGCCCATTGGACACACCGCTGTCACCCCAGAGGCGACTCCAGCAGTGAGTGACGGCAACACCAGTTACGAAGAGAGCATGGACCTTAGCTGAGAGCCAGGCAATCCCTCTTCTGGGCAGGAGACCAGAGCTAGTTCCACCTAACGACTCTCAAACATTTCACTCCCGGGACCCCTTTATGCCCTGTGAAACTACTGAGGACCCGAAGAGCTTCTACTTATCACAGTTATCATTATGAATCCATGTTTATCATACTAGAAATTAAAGCGGAAGTGTTTTAGGTTGGTTAAAACTTGAAACACGAAACCCACTGCATGAAAGACTACACTGTCTAAAACCACAGCCAACACGGTGAGCATGAGCTCTCACTTCCGCAAACCTCAGCGCTGCCTGCGGGGTCCTCACACCTGGCCTGGCCCCCTCGGCTGCGACCCCACCTGTCACAGTGCCTCCCTCGAGAGTGGCAGGGGCTGCAAGGAGCGTTCCGGTGCCGGTCAGCCCCGTGGACACCCTGGGGCCCTGGGCCATGGCAGAAGTCTGCTGTTAGTCTACAGAACATTTCACACAGAAATGAATTTAAAATAAGACGGACAGTTCACCTGGTTTTTTTTTCTGGCCAGACGACTGCTGCTCCCCGTGGCTGCCCGTCCACTCGAGTCAAGGAGTTGGACCGATGTCGCTGATCTGCAGGGTGGAGGAAGCAGGCAGTGCAGTCTGCGGTAAGGCACCAACTCTATGCCACTTAAAACTCAGCACAAGAACCATTCCTCACGGGAACGCATCGTAACACCCCAAACTCCTCATGGAAAGCAGAAAATCGCAACAATGCAGCTCAATAGAGTCAGTGGTGCACCACGTGCACCTCCACAGAGATCGGTCCGATCCGTGAAGTAAAATAATCACAACTTTGAGTGAAGATCAACACATCTAAATTCTTGCTTAAGTACAGCAGAGCAATTTTCTGTGTACTTCACGCAGCCCAATGGATTTGATGGTATTTCCACGATAAAGACAGTAAATTCTAAGGGGCGTCCATACAAATGAGACTGACTGCCACGGCCTTCCCCAGCACCACTACGCACGGCAAGGGGTTTAATTCGGGAGCCGCGCTCTGAGTGAGCTGCTGTAAGGAGGGGCGCTGGGGGAGCTCTTACCGGGGGGGTCCTCTCCCTGCACCGTCTTCTGCTGTTTCTGCCTCAGTGGCAGCAAAGGGTGCGACGGGCTGAAGGCAGAAGCCCCTTTCCCCCTAAATTTAGGAGAAAGAACCAGAGAGAAAAAGCACGGGTTTAGCAGTCTTCTAGGTCAAAAGCAAACTGCGAGACCATCATGAGTTCACACTGTCTGTGAGAAATTCACCGATTCTTTGGGAAAAACTAACTACTAAAAAAAAAAAAAAAAAAAAAAAAAAACCAAAAGAACACTGACAACTTCAAACTTGGGATACATAACCCAAAACTGCAACCGGGGGACTTCCCGACTCTGGTCGCAGTCTGACAGAAAGGACCCGCGGGGCATCTCCCAGCAGCCAGGAAAGGGCAGCGGGACGGCAGCGGGACTCCGGAAGCAGAGACTCACAGGTGCTCAGGCTCCTCGGGGTGCAGGCGGTGCCTGTGGCAGCCCTCGGCCGGCAGCGGAGCGGACGGCTGCGGCTCGGCCGGGCTTGCTGCCGCGGGGCTGCCCAGGAAGCTGCGCTTGGTGGCGTTGGAGATAGGAACAGGGGGCCGGCTGCTTTTTTGGTGTGACACTGTTTTTGCTGTGGAAACAGAAGTTTTATAAAAATATATTATTTACAGTTACTTGCATTAGCAAGAAGCATCCAAAACACCCTACAACTTTTACAAGCACCAAAAATAACTCTGCTCTTTTACTTGAAACCAAACTTCTCCAAAAACACTGGTTTCAAGTTCAACAAATGTATTCTGTAGTAATAATGACTGCTACACATATTATATCAAAATTTAAAAATAATACACGTTAGAACACAGAGCAGTGAAACCAGCTGGAACATCTCTCACCACCAGCAAGCAGCCCCTAGCGTGTGACCCGCCACCCAGCGGCCACGTCGGCTCCAGAACTCACCAGGAGCCCCGTCTCCAAGGTTGCTCCCTAAGTGCTGGCCAAAGATGGTGGTGCCAGGGCCAGGCCAGGACCTGGGGGCTGAGCCCTCCCTGGCCAGATGGCAACAAGGCCTCAGCAGCATGGCGGCCAGAGCCCAGACAGCCATGGCACGGGGGGTGGTCCCCGGGGGTGGCCGGCAGAGGGGACGCAGAGGTCGAGTGGACGTGAACGTGGGTGGCTGGCCTGAGCCCACTGGAGGGCGAGGAGACAGCAACGGGAGGCTGTCGCACGGACCCTGACACATGGGACAGGGACTCCTGGGCCCTGAGAACCTGAATTCCCGGGCTCCCCAGAGCTCTGAGCATCTGCACAAGAGGGCGCCCCCGCCCTGCGCCTGGAGGCCTGCCGAGGCCTCTGGCAGCATGGCACACGGCCTTGCAGAACCTGTCCGCCCCCACCCTCCTCCAGCCACCAGGCTCACCAGCACGGGCTGGGGCTGACAGGGAGGGAGACGCCACACAGGGCAAGCAGCAGGGCCAGGAAGCAGCCAGGGCGGGCCCAGGTCGGGCAAGGCGGTTCAGGGGGGCTGCCCAAGACACACGTGCAGCAGCGACCCAGTGAGCAACACGCGCAGACTGACTGCATTAGCAAGTGCACTACAGAAGGCCGAGGCGGCGGGGAACCCCGTGTTCTGCGGCCCGGCAGGCAAGGAGCAGCCACCAATGAGACGCTGCAAGCACGGCAGCTTCGCTCACGCCTCTGCTCCCTTCCACCTGCCCTGCTGCCTGCCTCCCAGCCCAGCCCGCCCACAGTGCCAAAAAATACACCCATCCCTGGGGGTCCGGTCCTCCGGGCGCAGCACGCGGCACGGTGCTCTCCGTAGGTAACCACGCAGCGTCCCCGTGGTTCCCGGCTGCACGCCCAGCACCCGCCCGCGCAGCACTCCGCACGCAGCTCCTGCCCAAGGACTGGCTGCTGGGTGCTGGGTGCGTCAGGGAGTCCAGGCCCTGGGGGAGCAGCGTGGCCCGCGGCAGAGGCGTGTGGCGGGGTGGGGAACGACCTCCCGGGACCTGGGTGTCAGGATGGGGCTGAACTGGGAGGCAGGGCAGGCTGCTGGCTCCCAGCGAGGGGAGGCGCCGAGCTGGGACGGGCGGAGAGACACGCCCTCGGCACAGCCCGAACCTGGCTCCGCTCCGCTGTCCCTCTGTGGTCTTGGGGGGGTGGGGCGCACAAACGACTTTTGTTGGGACTACTGAGGAGATGAGCATCATCCCACAAGCAACCGGGCACACGAGACCCGCTTCATGGAGTGGAGTGCCTGGTCAAGGCCAGCTTCTCTGCTCACTTTCTACGGGGTTTTCTTCTGCTCGCGGCTGTGGGTGAGCTTTCTGCGTATTCTAGGACTCTTGGCAGTGGCCAACCCTCTTCTCCCCTTGAAAAGCTGATGTATTTATTTTTATGGTTTTTATCATCTTCCAATTCAAAAAAGAAAAAAGGTCTTATTTTAATGTGGCTGAATCATCAATTTTTTCCTTTGTAGCTAATGTTTTGATATTTGTAAGGAATCATAAGGACACAAACATGCTCTCCCATATCACCTCCTGGAAGCTTTATACGAGGGGGACCCGGAATTTACTTACAAAAAATTGTGTATTTATTCTCACATGTTTAAACCTCAGTCACCTTCCAACTACTCCCCATTTGACGCACTGCACCCACTGAGACGTTTTTCTCCACTGCTCAAGCCAGTTTTGACCTCCTCAATTCTGATGCCTTTTAGTGCTTCTGCTGTTTTTTCCAACTCTTCCACATGGGCAAAATGTTTCCCTTCAAAGACTTATTTATCCAGGGAAACATAAAGTTGCTCGGGGCAAGACCAGGTGAATGAGGAGAATGGGGCACAGGGGTCATGCTGGTTTTGGTCAAAAGCTGGTGGACACGCAGCGTGGTGTGAGCAGGTGCGCCGGGGTACCACCCATCATGAAATGGGCACACGTGTTGTCTTCAAAAAGATCCCACCGCAGCTGAATGCAGCCTCAGCCTCTCGCAGCGACGCCGGCCTGTGCGCCGACACAGACGGGTTCCTCGAACAGTCACGCAGCGGGGGAGCCTGTACTGCCATGGGCCCGCCCTCCAGAAGGGAATTCTGGGTTTTGGGGGTTGGGAGGGCATCTGACTCCAGTGAACATGGGCGCGTTCTGCCCGCGGGCATGGCACACGAGACGGGGCGGGGGGGGCGGCGGAGGGAGGGGCCGGCAGACGCAGCGCAGCCGTGTCTCCTACCAAGGAAGCACATCAGAACCGGCTGCCCCTCGGCCCGGGCTGTGGGGCGAGGACGGGCCCCAGGCTGCACAGTCTGAGGGCCACACGGGAGGGCACTAGAAGGCAGTGGAGACAGGGCGAAGGCCTGCGCTCCTGAGAAAGCCATGGCGACTGAAAAGCTACCGTTGCACAGCACGTCAGGAAGCGATCGGGGCACCTGCCGAGCGCTGGCCTCTCAGCGGAGATCAGCCCGACGGACCGGCCCGCACTCACCGTCCTTCAGCTCCTGGACATCCCGGGGCTGAACGAAATCTGGCCGGACAGTCTCAAACCACCAGAAGAGCTCGGCTATAAAAACCATCACATTCGGCTGCAAGAAAACAACACAAAACCAAGGTCATGATGAGCAGCTTAATCACACATGGTTTTCAAAGCGTGTGTTTAAGAATTCGTTCTCACCTTCAACACTAAGGGAGCGTACAGCATATCTTCTAAGGTGAGGTAAAAGCATTTGTTAAGGTACTCATTTGAGAATTCGCGCAGGAGCCGAATGTTATATAGGCTGTCAGCCATCGATGTTACCTCCTTCAAGCATATATCTAACAGATAAAAAGAAAAGCACGATTCATTATAAACATACCCTGACACAGAACTGTGCGCACCTAAAAAATCCCAAACTGAGAGCCATTTTCAGTGTGGGCAGCAGTGAGAGGCTACATTAGGAAATTTAAACACCACAGTAAATACTGCAAGTAACACCGACTACAGGAAGGAAATACTAACAAAAAGACCTGAGGAATCTCCAGGATCTGCCTTGAACTGTTCACATCTAAAAAACTAACAGAAATTACCCGGGATTTTAAAGCTGGGCTTCCAAAATGGGCAGCAACCCCCACCGTTCAGGTTCAAAAGGGATGTAATAAAGCTGGTTCATGCTTAGCCATCCAGGCAGGGCCGGGGGCGGGGGACAAAAATGAGATCACCAGGCTTGTCCACGAGATGGTACAGAAATACACCCAATCCCAAAATTCAGGAGACTGGGCGGAGCAGGAGGCCCCCCTCCACAGAGCAGGTAAGCCCCACTCCCCAGGCAACCGCCCTCCCCGACTGCGTGACCCCTCCCAGGTGGGGCCAGAGCTCCCATCCCATGCGCTGGGTCCATGAACGATGTGTCCATCAACGGCCCACTGCTGACTTGGCTGTCTGAAATTCACATTCAGGACAGCACTGTGCCTATCACTTTGCTGCCTGCTTTCCCTAAACTCAGTATTATGTTTCCAAACAGGTCTATATAGATGTGGCCAGACTCCATTCACTGCAACAGCTACACAGTACTGCGCAATTTTCACAAGTACGAAAAATGCCATAAAAACCAATCTCATGTGTGCACTCTCTGCACTCGCACGCCCAAGAAGGGGGGCCCTCCCCACACCAGGCCGACCCCCCCCCGCCTCCGGAGCCTGGCGCTCCCTGCCCCGCACCTCTGCTGGGCGGGTGCGCGGTGCGTGTCCCCAGCGCCTGCTGCGGACTCACTCCCTCTCTCCACGAGAAGCCTGTGCCTTCCGGGCTCCGTGCCGCCTGCCCTACTGACCAGGAGGAAGTCCCCCCAGGCTGTGGTTACAGAAGGACTGTGTGGTGACCCTCCGTCCAGTGCTTTTTCACGGGTGCAGTTTATCACGACTTTGTCCCGTCACGTCCCTTTTCACGGATATGGTTCGTCACCATTTTGCTGATAATGCCCCATATCACCACACTGAATTTCAATACGGTTATATACAGCAATCATTTTCTATTATTTGTGCTGCTTTGTAATTTAGGTAATCCATCCCAACACCAATGTTAGAAACATTCTGAACTGGCCAGTCCCCCTCCCTGTCAGCTGTGGGCCCCCCACAGAGAGCCACGAAACTGCTCCTGAGCCCAAATCACACTGGTTGAGCTGATGTAAAGTTAGACAAAGCGTGGGCTTTGTGTATCAAGTACCCCACGTTCTTATTCTTCAAAATCCACCTGCCTGAAATCTGGAGCCATCTGAGCAACAACAACGCTGTATTCTGGAGCGTGATGTATTATAGCCCACGAGGCCACCCTGACACAAACGTACAGGTCAGTAAGAGAGCCTGTGGAGAGAGGAGATGGCGCCCCCCTGTGGGAGGGTGCAAAGTAACAGATGGAAAAGGAAACTCGATATTGATGGACTCAAAGCATCTCCCCCAAACTGCCAGTTAACTACAAAGCAAAAATAGGGGGATCTCAGAGTGGAGAAACCCATCCCGCGCCGCCTGAGCCAAGCAACCACAGCCGGTGCTGCTGGCACAGGCCGCAGCAACGTCAGGCCCCCAACAGGAAGCGAGGGGAAGACCCGTTGTAGCTCTGCGGCACTCCCACTAAAACCGCGGGCCCTAAACCTCCTTGGGAAGAAGGGCTGCACAAAGCCAAACAAGGGAAGCTCAACACCCCAATGACCTGCCGTCTTCGAAAACATCAGGTCAAGACAGACAGAGAAGGGCTGGGGACCGGCTCCAGGGCAGAGGCGCCCGCAGCGCTGGCCGTGGCCATGGGGAGCGGACTGCGGCACCAGGGTGGCGGGTGGCCGGGGCGGGCCGGGCGAGCGCAGCGCTGCGGGTCTTCTTGGCACCTGCTGCGGCAGGGGTGCCCCTGTTCCCCAGGGTCCTCTCCAGGGTCAGAGGGTGAGAAAGCACAGGCAGGACCAATGGCACGGCCTGGGAAGCCTGCGGGGAGGCCTGCAGGGGCCCCTCCGCTCCTCTGGACACTTAACCTTGTATCGAAATAAAATGCAACAAAGATGAACTCTGTCCCTTTGGCCTTTACTCTATCCTCACTAGTTTTTACTATGTGCACTTTTGAAAAAAAGAAAGTTATCTACTGGACTAACAAGAAATTGATGAACCAACTGGGAAATTATAATCTTTATACTGACTCTTGGCATCTCTACAAGAGTTTACCATCTCCTCCAGGGGGGTCGCCCCTTCTGTTGAACTGGGCTGCAAGCATCTCCAAGAGCTCAGCAGCCATGACATTCCCAGTGAGCTGACCCCACGTGCAGGGCAGGCGGACACTGTAGGCCTGCGAAGACCCCCTGCCGCCCATCCCGCCCCGTCGGGCCCGGCTGAGCTGCTGCCTCCCGCAGGGCCCTGTCTGAGGCAGTCTGCTCCAGGAACCTCTGCGGAGTCAGAGCAAGTCACCCACAGGCCTACAGCGTCCATCACACGGGGGCAGTGACTTCAAACAGACCATCTTGCGCTAGGCCTACTGAGACCATCGTGTAGGAGGCGTTCCATAACCCAGTTCTTGTCTTCTAGGACCTTCCGAGGATTTCCGACCTGTACTGGCAGGGAGTGTGGCCCACCCTCTCCCCCCTTGCTCTGCCCTGAGCCCTGCTCCTGGGGTCAGGGGGCCATCTGCCTACAAAGCTCGGGCCCCTCTCCCAGACAGGCCCATGACACAGGGCGCTGCGGCAGCTTGAGGGCTGACCAAAGACGAGGCCACAGCCAGTCTGCGGGGACGCATCCTTCCCCGGAGCCCACCGTGTAGTCAGGGCCTGTCAGGTTTCCCACCCGTTCTTGGCTCTGTTCACCCAACACTTCGCACGTCCCGCCCACCGGGAGCCGGCTGCTGCTCGGGCTGACCGCCGCCGCTCCCCTGCGCAGGTGCTCCCTGTCCGGCACCCAGAGGGGTCCCGGGCCCCTCCCAGGGGTGCGGGCAGCCCGGGCTCTCCTCTGCCCGGAGGACGGCACAGGAACCCACTCTTCGTTCTGCTCCCCCCAACCTTCCTTGGACTCACGTCCATGTTCTTGGCTAATGCACTGAAATCAACCTAGTTCACGAATTCAAAAAATTCCTTCTTTTCCAGAACATGTACCGAGGCTGAGACTACCAGGGCCCCCTCCCTGCCACTCTGAGCTGCGCCCCACAGGTCTGGCATGGACGCCACTTGCTCATTTATTTACCATCAGCCACCAAGCTGTCCCAGGCATGACTTTTGATGGCTGGCATATATACCAGTGAGCAACAGACAGCGATCCCGCCCTGGTAGGGCCCAGACTAGCAAACTGCACTGTGGTTCCCACAGCGACCCAGGAGACACCGTGTTCGGTCTCTGAGACTGACTATGTCAGAGGGCTGGGGAAAGAGGCTGCATCTCCTGCTCCTGGTGTCTTGTCCCGCAGCGTGGTGGCACACTATCGAGCTCTGCAATCGGCTGAGGTTTCTTCCATGGCCTTAATCGTGTCCATGTTTTGTGAATACGTCCACACTGACCGCCCCCGCCCCCACCCCAAGGCCTTGGGCACTCGACAAGCCCCCAGTCCCTTCCGGGCTGGCAGAGGGGCTTTCCCAGTCCCTCCCAGGGTCCTGGCCACACCCCCCACCCACACACAGCCCCCAGAAGGCCAGACGAGCATGGCAGGCCCACCAGGCCGAGGGCGACCAGGTGTCAATTTGGGGGCTTCACTCAAAGACAAAGACCTTCTCTAGGCACCCAGGACTCCCCCTTTCTCTCAAGTTCAGCTGTATGTTTAAAACTATTTTGTCTATAAAACCATACAATCCAGCACTTTTGTACCTGAAGCCGAAGCAGGACTGACCACCATCAGCTCAACCCCCCGGTGCCAGAGTCTAACACAAGCATGGCACGTGTGCAACCATGTTCTGGACATTCTCTCGGTCTCGCGCTTGCTCCCACAGAGGGCGCTTCGCCGACTGGAGTGGGGGTGCCGTCCCCGCGGCCCTGTGCAGCCCTCCCCCCTGCCCCGTCGGGCTGTGGGTTCCCTGCAGGGACACCTGGCATCATTGACGAGCACAGAGGGTCGTTTCCCAAGGCCTGTGAACAGACCCACGCTTCATGCGTTTCCCACCCCACACCAAGTGCCAGCGGTTTCAGGTCCCAGTGGCAGGGCTGACAAAACCCTGCCACGCTGAGGCCGAAGTGAGGTCACAGCTACTGTGCTCCGGCCCCGCACCGTCGCCATCAGGCACGAATGCACTACCCCCGGCTGGCGCCAGGGGCGAGGCGGCGCGGTGGTCCTGGGCTGCCCCAGGCCAGGCCCGGGCTGCACACTCACCGCCCAGCTTCATGTGCTCCGGACAGTAGTAGTGTACCACGGCCAGGAGCGCGGCGCCGTCGCTGCCGTCGCGCATCAGGTCCTCCAGCAGCGGGAAGCAGGGCGGCTGCCTCGCAGACAGGTGCTCTCGGCGGTAGCGCACCTGCGGTTGACAAAAGGAAGATGGTCTCTACACATGAGGTGCCTCCACTACCGCCTGCGTCGCAGGAGCCTGCTAAACAGAGAGCTCACATAACGCCCGCCAGACAATGCTTGGAACAAGGCAACCGTAGGAAAGGGCTCAGCCTGCCTGGGCGACACACTCTACATCTTTGCCTGGAGCACACATGGCAAGACCGGGAAACTGTGCTCCCAGCCACACTAGGTGACAGGAGACCCTGCCAACGATGGCAGGGCCACCTCCTCCTGACGTGCCACGGCGTCCCCCAGGGAGGCAGCCGGCGTGTCCACACTGCCCAGCGCCGCATGGTGCACACAGATGAGAGGCAACTGTGAGCATCCTCGTGCTTGGAGGCCCAAGTTGCTGTTACTTTTCTCAGGATTACTAGCATCCGCCTCGTTAGGCCATTAAGAAAATACAAAACGGCATTAACATTAAGTCCGAGGACTTTCTGAGACCAGGTGAGACAAAATTTTGCATCCTGTGTCGACAGGGCAGCGACGGAGCGACAACAGACCGGGCACAGCATGCAGGGCGCCATGCAGGACAGGTGCGTCGTGGGGGCCCGGACCTCGCCCTCAGGGAAGCAGGTGCCGTCACCCGGGGACAGGAGGGTGTGCAGACCAGGCCGCCGAGGGGGCCGAGTGGGGCCGGGGGGCGGGCCCCGTCCCACACGTCCGGCTGTCCCCTACTCTCTGCATTAACGTTCACCAAACGGCTTTACGACATGGCATGTCCCGCCCCCACACTTTCCCCCGCAGGGGGAAACACACCGGACAAACGGGCAGGGGAAACCGGCAGCCCGGCCTGGCGGCAGGAGCGCGCAGCTGCGCGGAGGCCAACCAGAGAGGAGGTCTCTCAGCGATCTGGGGTTTCGAGTCGGTATCTCAGTAAGCGCCCAGTGAAGAATCGCCAGCGTTGGCACGGAATGGGAAACACCTGTGACGTTCTTTTGACACGACCAAGGCCTCATTTGTGTCACCAGGTCTGTTCCGCCATGGACTTAAACTTGTCTCTCGGGCCACAGCACAGGCTATGACGCGGGCGGGTCCCGGCTCCAGCATGCAGACGCAAGGGCGTGCGCCAGGCCAGCTCCCACACGGACAGACAGACAGCACACACGTGACCGACCACAGCATGCAACGAAGCAAATGGTTTCCCGACTGAAGATGGATGGAGCGAACTTAAAATCGGGGCAAACGCCTGCGCGGCCAGCTACCTTCAGCCAGGCCTGCCGACCGCCAGGGCTGCGGAAGGGCAAGGTGAGACCTCGGAGCCTGCCACTTGGACCAGACCTTCCCTCGCGTACCCCCGACAGCCTGTCTGCAGGACATGGTGGTCCGACAGTCATGGTGATCGGCTACTAAGAGGACACTGGGAGGGTCACGGCCCCTGGTCACACTGTCCGGTTCCTCTAACCCTCCTCTGAAACCTCCTTCCTACAGGACAGATGAAGTTCTGGCTGATTCCTCACTAATGCCTGTAACTGTCTGAACATTTAACTCTTTAGCTTTCAGGATTCAAAAAGTTAAGACGTGTAAACGCCCACGAGGGGCTTTCTTCTGGTTGTTACTACCCCCCAGAGAGAGCAGCAGCATCAGCAGCACCGCAGCCCGCAGCGCAGCGCCCGGCCCCCCAGCTGGTCTCCAGGGGGCGCCGCTGTGGCACGATCTGAGGCCACGTTGCCCCAGTGTGGAGCTACAGGACGAGGCAGCGGAAGGCATGTGCAGAGGGGCCGCCCGGGCCCCGGGCCCCGCCACACGCGCGCCCCCTTCCCTCCGGCTGGGGCCGCGGGGCCAGGCTCAGCTGCAGAGCCAGCCACCCTTGCGCTTCCCCGCTGTGGGGTGCAGGGGGGCCCCTGCATGGGGGGGGGTGACGGCCGGAGAACGGCCTTCCTCCCGGCGATCACCTTTATCACCAGGTGGTCCCTGGCACTGAGGCAGTCTATGGGCACTGACATGTGACATGCCAGCTTAGGGACAGTCCACCAGCGTGGACAAAACAAAGGGCCGCTCAGAGCTGATCTATCAGTCCTCCTCAGAAACGAGCACAGACCCTGTCTTTAGGTTCACGTCCAGCACAGAGAGTAACTCCGTGACCATGCGCGGAAATGCAGACCGCCACCTGTGACGTTACCCCAGACGCGCAACACAAACTGCGTGCTACGAAATGCGACTCAGAGCTCCAAGCGCCCCAATAGCTATGAAATGAAGCCGTTCAGCCCTGGCCAGGCTACGGCTCACACTGCACCAAGTACAACAACGACACCAGGAGGACATTCAAACAAAAGAAAAGGGTTCAGTGAGGGCGACTGGGAATGGAAGCAGGCGACTGCACAGGATGGCGTCTGATGGCAGCGGTGCGCACGGAGTCCACTTACGGGCACCAGCTTCCAGTACCACTTGGAGGGAGACTGCTCGGGAAGCAGGGAGGAAGAAGGCAGGAGAGGAGTGTCAGCAGGCCGGGCTCGCGTGTGGACGGATGACACACACGTGGGCGCGGCGTGGGCATGAGGAAACCGGTGCCCATGACCTGAAGCGGCACGGCACCTCTGCAGCACCAGCCTCTGCGGGGGAGGGGCTGCGCATCCAGAAGGACAGACGCAGCTGCACTCGCGGGGGCTCAGTGCACCTTCGGCCTCGTCTGAGAACAGGAGGAACAAAAGCGGGCGCGCGTGCTGTGCCCACACATCTACCCAGCCCGGAGGGGCACCGGCAGACCGCAGACACGGCGGGGCCACATCGTACCCGCGCTTAAGGGATGTGGATGCGGTCACATGTGCTTGGCAAAAAGGCCAATGCGAGGGGAAGAAAGGACAGAAATGACCGGAACGCACCAACACCATCTGCGTCATTTCCTCAGGTGCGCCACACAGCCCCGCCCGAACCCCACACAGGGCTTTGGGGCCAGCGCCGGGCTCCCGGCCCTCACAGGCAGCGTACGGGGTGTGCAAGGCGCCGCTGGCAGTCGGCACCCTCCTCACGTGCTGATTGGTAGAAGCGAACTTCCAGAACCCCCATGCCTCCCAGCATCCCCTGCACCCCCGGTTACATACAAGACCCCCCGCCAGGGAGCGAGGCTGCAGGCTGCGTGCCCACTGCCACCAAGGGGCCATGGGGCCAGCCTGCCGGGGAGACCCATTCCTGTCTTGTGAGGAAAGACAGGAGTCACAAACAGGGACAAGGGCATGCCCCTCCTGGGCCGCGCTCACCTAGGGCGGTGCCGAGAAGTCCAAGGCCTTACCTTCTGATGAGCTGGGCTCTCCAGCAACTGCTGTTTCAGCTTCACTTCCTTCTCCGTGATCTCCCTCATTTTAAGATTTACCTGAAGGAGAAGAAAAACACGCTGAGAAGGCGGCTGTTTCCCAGCATGGGTACCCGCATCGCCGCCCAGGCGCGGTGCCCCGGCCCCCGTTCTGACTCCCACTCTGAGAGGCAGGGGCCCAGACGGGAATGCACACGCGGAAGTCTCGGACTCCACGTGGCCTGTGACTGCTGCGCAGGAGACGCACCGGGTCCCTGAGCGCCATGCACGGCTGCCACCTCACATCCACAGCGCGCACATAGCACCGTCCTCTGTCACCACCAACAGAGGCCACTGATAAAGGAGCCTGCTGAGACTCCCCTCCGGAGAGTCTGACGCTGGCTCACACGCTCCCAGCCGGACGGAAGGAACACTAACTCAGCCTGGACCACAAGTTTACTGGACACCCCTTTCACAGTCAGTACAGCTCTGCAGAAATTAAAGCACACTCCCCCAGAGTTAGTAAGTCAAAGATAAAATCAAAACCGCGAGGAGACAGCGCTGCCGCGGAGCAGAGCGCTCCCTGGGGCTGGCGGGGGCGGTGCCCAAGCTGGGGGCTGAGGGAAGGGCACAGGGCCGAGTCTGCCCTCATCAGCGAGAACACAGAGGAGACAGCAGAAAACTGTTCTTAAGAGAAAAACACGAAAGAAAATCAGTACCGGTAAACATCAGAATAAATGAATTAGAAGAGATGGGCAGTCACAAGCAAGTACGTAAAATGCTGCCTGTACAATCTGGAGGGGGGCACACGGCTATTCTCTGCCACAACTTTTCCACCTGGTCACATCTTTTCATCATGAAATGGGAAAAAGACTTCCTGCTCCAACTGGTGGGGACACTGATGCACTTAACTTTCGACATGGGGTCGCGGGGGGCGACAACACTGGTGAGACCTCCGTGGCGCAGGGGCCAGCACGTGACACCCTGCAGGCAGGGGCGAGGAGAGGGCCAGGAAGGAGGCGAGAGGGCAGCAGGGCTCGCCGACCTAGTGTCAGGGTGCACACAAGCGCTCTCACAGCAATAAAAGGACACATAATCCGATTTTTAAATCGGCAAAAGACCTGAATAGATATTTCTCCAAAAACCTACAGATGGCCAGCAAGCGCGTGGAAAGAGACCCCTGTCCTCGGTCACCGGGGATGCACATCGGAGCCCCAGCGAGGCGCCCTCTCACACGCTGCAGGGCGGCGAGAGTCGGGGAGCCAGGGAGCCAGCACAGGCGAGGGCGTGGGAAACGGGGAGCCCCAGCAGTGCGGGTGGGACGGAGAAAGGCATGGTCGCTGTGAAAAACTCTGCCTGGTCCTCGAGGGTTAAACGGAGGCCCCAGGTGACTCAGCAACTCTACCCCGGGAAACACACCCGCACCAGGGGGTGGTCCCCGGACAGGCCAGTGGCTCCACAGCTGCTGGAGGGCGGGGGGCGGGCGCGGGGTGAGACCCCCCCACCCCCAGGCCCAGAGTCATACATGAAAAGCAAGTGACTGGCACAGGCACCCTCCCAGGTGAGAACAGGTCAGGGCGCATGTGAGCGCACGACTCCGTCCCTGGTGCCGGCACAGAGCAGGAATCGTGGAAACAGCACCTGCGACTAAGCTTCATGGAGAACTCAGACCCCGCTGGGCACCGAAGAACAGACGCAGGAGAGAAATCCCACTGCGCACACACCTGGCTGCAGGCACGCCCCGCAAAGAGCCGCAGCCTCACGAAACAGGAGTGGCTTCCAGTGGAGAAAACCCTCGGTAGAGTGAAGCCTTCGGGCGGGGAGGCACCCCAGGCACGGGAACCCACAAGGGGGCCAGGGACGCAGCAGTAAGAAAGGCAGGCCAGTCCCACGGCGGGCGGAGGGGGACCCCCGATGCCACGAATGCAGGCGCCATCTCCCCTGCCCCAGAGCCCACCCCTGGGAGGAGCCCTTGAAGGCAGGGAGTGTGGGACACTCCCCCAGTGCGTGAGAGCGCACACACCTTGCTCGATACCCAAGAATCTGCAGTGGGTGCCAGATCTGACCACAGTGGCCCAAGCGACCGTGCAGCACGGCGGGCACCAGGGGCGGGTTCCAGGAGCCGAGTCAGCACCTCCCCTGACCGCAAGCCAGAAGACAGCGTCCGTCGGAGGCGGGAAGTTCAGAAAGGGCCCTTCCTGAAGTACCAGAACCCTCCAAGAGGAAGCAGCGCCAACGAGCTGGACTGGGGAGGGCCATCTACGCCTCAGCCAAGACACAGGGAGGCACACTCCCTGGAGCACGGCCCTGGCCGGCAGCTCAGGCCGTTCGAGTGCCACCCACACAGCAGGGCTGGGGGCTCGAGCCCCCTCGGGGCTCACACAGGCAGCAACCAGGGAGCGCGCGCATCCGTAAGGGGGACAGCAAGGCGACATGCCCACCCCCTCAAATCAGTAAATTTTAAAAAAGTTAAATATGGTAAATGGGTAATACCCTTGATAGATGACCAAACTGGGGGAAAAAGGACATACCATTCCCCAAAGAAATATGGCCAAAGACAACAAGCAAGCAATTTACCAAAAATAGAGATAACTAGCCAGACGCATGCTCTTTTTAGCCCATCTCCTGACCGCCCGCCCCCGCCCCGCAACCATCACCTTGTTCTCTGTGTCTGTGGGTCTGTTTGTTTTATTTATTCATTTGTTATTTTGTTTTTAGATTCCGCATACCAGTGAAATTGTATGGTACTTATCACCCTCTGACTGACTTATTTCACCGAACATAATACCCAGGTCCATCCATGCTGTTACAAGTGGTAAAATTCCCTTCTTTTTTATGGCCAAGTATTATTCCACTGTGTAAATGTACCACAGCTTTTTTATCCCCTCGTCTACTAATGGACACTTAGGTTGTTTCCAGATCTTGCCTACTGTAAACAACACTGCAATGAACACAGGGGTGCATATATCTTTTCAAATTAGTGTTTGTTTTCTTCAGGTAAACACTCAGAAGTGGAATAGCTGAGTTATGTGGCAGCTCTCTTTTTAATTTTTGTGGAAGCTCCATAGTATATTTACTCTACTTTTTAAACTTCAATTTTACTGGTGAATGAAGAAATAAAAGACACTATTTTTCATGTTTCAAATTGGCAAGTATATTTAAATAATATCCCATATATAGGAGGACATGCAGAAAAGATATCTCCACAAACTAACAGTATGAAAAAAACAGTACAATATTTATGCTCAGAAACTTGGCAAAAACCAATCTAAAGCCTTTAGAAATGAACCTCGGCTGAAACCACCACCACCTGCCAGGGAGGTGTGGGAGGGAAATAAGGGCGCCCACCCAGGAGTGTGCTGGTGGGCGGGGGCGGGGCCCTGCCCACGCCGAGGGAGCGGCCTCACCACAGCCACCCAGGGCAGCCTGACCCTGGGAAGACGGACACTGTGCCTTTAAGGCTGTACTGCGCCCACAGGGACGGAAACCGTGAGACTTGATATCAAACACTACGTTAATAGATGGAATGCCTGTGGGGAATTTATTTTTTGTTCTGTTTGCTCATCCATGTTTTCTCTTCTATAAGAGAATAAAAGTTGTTAAAGGAAAAAAATAGCTTAAAACGTGAACTTCTGGCCACAGCAAGCCCATGCTAGGACGGCAGAGACGTAACATGGCCTGGGTCCCCTGTGGCAGCGTGTGCTGGTCCTGTGCCCCATCGTCCACCAGGCGCCCCAGGTGCTTCACACACGTGCGCGCGTGCACACACAGCCTCAGGCAAGCCCGGGACTGTACAGGGGGGCCTTCACCACGGAGGGAGGGCCTGATGGCACCGCCAACTTCCGAGTCCATAGCAGGACCCAGAGGTCCCTGAGCCCACTGCAAGTCAGTCTGTCCATCCACGTGAGCCCCCAAACCTGCATTCTGGTAGGAGACCACGTCAAGGGCAGGGCAAGCAACTGTCTGAGTGGTTGTCTTGTGTCCTTTACATAGGCCTGGTTGTCACAGGGAGGCAGCACGCACACTTGGCCTGGCAGGGCCACGCCCTCAACTAATTCCGAGGCCACCGATTTTTATCTCACCTCATATAAAGGCCTCACATCGTAAAGAATATGTGTGCAAACTGTATCATGAAATAATTTAAAATTTCCTGCAAAAAATTTTACAAGACACTTTTCAATATTCTGTTTCCTTTGCAAGAAGAAGACTGAATAGCCAAGACTTTGGTAAGGTAATCCTATAAATAAATTACATGCTATTAAAAATAACTATTCTTTACCTACATTGTATAAAAGATTACACTGTAAGCTTATGAATATAAAGGGAAAAAAGGTGTTTCAGAAGATGTTTCTCTCTTAATCAAAATGCTGTCTGAAGTGGAGGACTCCTTTAATGCAAATAGGCACTTAAGATACAAGGAAGGTGTTCCTTCGGACCAGGAACACACCTGCATTTTCGACCAGACACACGTGCTCTGCGCACACCCCTGCCCCCCCCCCCCGCCCCCGGCTCAGGAGGCGCGCCGCTCTGCTCTCTTCTGTTCTGACCACAGCAGGCGTTTCTGGATGCCACGCATCCAGCTCTGCTGGCCCCTGCCCGAGCCTGGGCCTCAGCAGGACACACGAGGACCAGCCACACAGGTGCACTCACCTTGTTGACCCAGAACACCATGGCATCCTCGAGGTCGTACGGCAGCTCTTTCGAGGCACTGAATGTCGAGAAGCGTTTGACGCTGGCCACCACCTTCTCGATGCTGATCATCTCCACGGTGTAGGCCATCATGAGGGCGTCCACCATCGCCATGTGGGCGCTCTGCAAGCGGGGCAGCAGTCAGGGTCGCCGCCTGCCTCCCCACCAGGTTAACGAGTCCTGCTCAGACTCAAAACTCTGCCCGAAGCAGTTCCTCTCTTCTCCGCTTACAGGGACAGGGAGGCCTTATCTGCACGCCGCCCTCCTTGGTTGGGGTCAGCGGGCCCGGTGCCCTGCAGCCTGGAGGCTCCGTCCTCCTGCCTCATCTCCCTGACAACCCCGGCGGGCAGGGGAGTCCTTACTTCAGGGCTGTGGGCAAAGGTACAGAGGGCAGAGAGCCATGTCCAATGCCACGCGACTACCAACAGGTCCCCATGTGCGACCCGGAGCGCCGCACAGCACGCCACACGCCGCATTTGCGCTGCATCCCCCAGAGCCTGGGCAACACCCTCCCAACCCACATCGCGGCAGCCCCAGAGCCCCGAAGGAGTGAAACACAGACCCGGAAGGGCCAGGGAACGGCCTGAACAACAGCCGTGCAGGGGGCACCAAAGGGGCTTAGACTGCGCGTGGTCTGGAACCGAAGCCACATCGGTGGTATAGCTTTAGAGGCAGATGGGGAGGAAATGCTTTGAAGAGAAAAAGGCAACTACTTATGTTGGCACAAAAATACTGACAAATCTACATGCAACAACTGAACAGAATGGGCCCGACAATCACAACCCCTTAGCGTGCGCACGAAGTTCCACCTCCAAATGTCTGAGCGTGTCAGCATCCAGCGCGCTCACCACGAGACAGTCGAGAGCAAGCTGTTCTTCCCCACGTCCCGTCCCAGATCTACACGTGCACTCGGCCACACATGACGCGGGAGGCCACCGCACAACCGCGCACGCAGACCTCGGTCCGCTGCTCGCTGCTATGTGCACCTCGTGCACCTCAAGTTTCGGGAAAACTGCCTCGTCCATGCAGCTCAGCTGCAGAGGGGCAGCTGGTGACGTGGCGGGCTGGTGCACCACACGAGGGCCCACAGCACCAGAGGCCACCACCTGCCCGCGACAGTGCCCATGACACACGGGGTGTGGGGAGGGGCGGTGCGTGGGGCTACTCACCATCTTTATGGGTGCCTGGCTGAGGTCAGGGTCCGTCACGGGGGTGTCATCACTCTCCATCACGTAGATCCCTTTCCGGGACAGGGCCTGGATGACAGACTGGTGTCCCTGCAAGGCGGCCGCCTGGTCCCCTTTCAGGATGAGGCTGCAGACGCGGCAGTACAGCTCGCTGGACAGCAGGAGCTTGATGACAGGCGGCTTGATGTGCTCCTGCTCGTACTGGTCGATGTAGAAGGGGTCCCTGAGGTCCTCAGGGACGTTATCTGAGCCAAGGGAAAGGTGACCATGTGAATGTGACACCCACATTCCAAACGCCCATGAGGACAGAGGAGCCATTAATAATGACGGGCAACTAACAGTGTATAAAGATGCCAGTGGGTCCCTAACCCCCCCCGCCCCCCACTGGCAAACTAGCGTATTCACAGCAGCCCAGGAACACGGACAGCACACGTCACTTAGTGACTTCACCGCTGTGACCTCAAGGAGCAGCAATCCTGACGCAGGACAGCAAGTGCAGGGCCCCGAGGAGCGAGTGGGGCCTCAGGGAAGCCAAGACGCAGGCTGGCCTGGCCACGCCTCGAGGCAGCCCCAGGGAAGGAGGCACGTGTACCCTCCTCTGACAGCAACTCGGAGACGACAGAGAGGCCGCACACCACGGTCTCTGCAGAGGGGAGCGCCAGGCCTGCTGCTGCTGTGGCGACGGCGGGACAGCAGCAACCGGTCCCATCCCTGGACCAGGGGGCACTAAACCCCACAAGAGCCGTGTAGTAACTTCAGCGTCACCGCAATGCTACCAATCAAGACTTTTGACCCTATGTCACAAATGAGGAAATGAGGCACAGAGCAAGTGAAGCATGTGTCTAGGGTCACGAGAGGCAGAAACCAACCGTGAAGCGCAGCGCGATCCACAGCATTCCCGCCGCCGCCTACGCACACACACCAGCCGCCCGTGTGCAGCGGGGGACGTCCACTTTTTGTGTGGTGGGTAACCTCCGTCACAGTGTCCCTCAGCTTGCTCTGCGAGATGCCAATCGCTGTCCCCCAAAGCGGGACACCACAGGCAGGTACATTGGGAAACACCGGCTTCCACGGAGCTAAGCTGCCTCCTCTCCACGAGGACCTTGAATGTGCTGGGTGCCCTGGGGCCTCCCCCGCAGGTGCCTTCTGGAACGTTCCCGTCCCTGGGAGAGTTCAGAAGGCCCAGCACAGCAGTGCCCCACTGCTGTGATTTCAGTTACCGCCCAGTCAAAACGCTCAATGAGAAACCCAGAAACGAACAGTCCCTGAGCTTCCAGCGGCGCGGCGCTCTGGGCGGCACGGCAACCGCGGCGCTGTCCCGCTGCCTCGCCAGGGAGGGGCTGCTCTGCCCGGCACCCCCACCCTGTGCGTGCTACCTGCCCCTTGGTCTCCTGACAGCCATCTCGGTTATCAGACCCACTGGCATGGTGTCTCAGCGCCTGTGTTCCAGTCCCCCGATTTCGCTGCATGATGGCCCCGAAGCACAAGAGCAGCAGTGCTGTGGTTCGGATGGGCCACAGACGCCACGGTGCCCCCTTTGCGTGAGAAAGCGAGTACAGGACAGTGAGACACTGTGAGGAGACTACATCCACAGAACTTTTAGCCCAGTGCAGTTATAGCTGGTCTACGTGCCTATTAATTATTGTTAACCTCTCACTGTGCCTAATTCAACCGGCATAGGTATGGACACAGAGGGGAAAACAGAGGATACACAGGACTCAGAACCATCTGTGGTTTCAGGCCTCCACTGGGGTCGTGGGACACGTGCCCGGCAGATGAGGGGCGACCGCGCCTCCAAGCACAGCAAGGGAGGAGCCCGTGACACCGACACGGACACACGCAGCCCACCGCAGACACGCCCAGGACGCCCGCAGCCCTCCCCCGACACCAAGGCCAGGGAAGGGGGGGCCCCGGTCTTCTCCGCGCCCTCGCTCTCTTCACAGGTGCCACTCTCCCGAGTCCTTTAATGAAGGGCAGCTTCCCCGTTTCCTAGCGCTTCACTTTTTCTTTCTTTTTCCTAACAGCAGCACAAACGTGCGGGCTGCCCCCTCGTGACGCGCGCCACAGCCCTCCTGGGCTGCAGGGCACACCCCTGGCTTAGGGGGCACATGAGGGCCACAGCGGGGCCCACCCAGAAACCGCCTGGACTTCTGAAACAGCGGGGTGTACCAATGACACCGAGGGCGTGGACAAAGCCCAAGGGGGAAGAGCCCTATTTCTTCAGTGCGTGAGTGGCGGGGCTGTGGGAGGGAAGGGAGCAGGCCCCGGGAGCAGGCAGCAGCCTCGGAGGACACCAAGAGGACACAGGGCCTGGGCGGGGGTCCGGGGGGACGAAGCCAGCGACGCCCGCGGTTCTGTTACGTTTGCAGCATTCCACGCCAGACGCTGGGGGAAGGCTGCGCCCAGGGTCAGCCAGGGCTCCCGGCCTCAGGACAGGTCTCCTCCCGCCCCCACCCCACAACGCCTGCCCACCTCCAGCCCCTCTGCTGGCTCTCCCTCATTTCTCCAAGCACTGGAAGGGGCACTTCCTGCCTCACTGCCCAGGTGACCTCAGCTGGTCTTATGGCTTAAAGGACCACCTTTGGGTGGCCATACTCAAATGCACATCCTGACCCCAGCTGCTTCCCTGAGCTCCTGTGCTCCTCTGCCTCCTGGAGGCCTGGTGGCCCTGGAGCCTAACCGGCCTCTCAGTGAACTCCAACGCCTCCCGAGCCTGCCTCTCCTACGCTTCAGATCAAGGTCAGCTGCTCAGACCAAAAGCTTCAGCATCATCCACTCTTCTCTTCCTGCCAACCCGCTGGCAACTCCAGCAGACTTCCCCTTTGAAGTGTATCCAGAAAATGACAGCTTCCTCCCACGCCACAGCCACCTGCCAGCCACTACCTCCCCCCAGTCCAAGACGCCTCCCCAGAGCGGGACTGATGGCCTCCCTCTAGGAGAGCAGAGACCCGCGAGACCAGGAGACAAGGCGCCCTGCACTGCAGGCCACAGCTCTGGAGGAGGGGACACAGGCACGAGTGGAGGGCTGGCCCCAGCGAGGACGGGAGTGCATGATGCAGGTGCGGAAGGACACAGGCCACGAGCGTGGACCGGGGAAGGCTGCGGAGAACAGCCGCCGTGGCTCTGAAGCAGGCTTCTCTTCGACAGTCGACTGCGTCGAAATGTTTCCCCCACGGTGGCCCATTTATCGGAACTTTCAAATATATCAATGTAAGTTGACTCGTATAAACAATTTAAAACTATTATGAGTATAACACATGAATGTGAACCGCACAAATGACTCTCATCAATTTCAGAATTGGGATATGAGGGTTAGCCCTGGCCGATGTGGCTCACTGGTCTGAGTGTTGTCTGCAAACTGAAAGGTTGCAGGCTTGGTTCCTCGTCAGGGGATACATACAAAAGGTAACCAATCAATGTTTTGTTTTCCTCTCACATCGCTGTTTCTCTCCCTCCCTTCCTCTCTCTAAAAAATCAATAAATGTGTCCTCCAGTAAGGACGGGGGGTGGGGGGCAAATGAAGCTCCCACTGAGGACAAGTGCTAGGACTTTCCCCGGTCGTCCTAAACACACGCCCCACACACAGGGCGCCCGGCCGCAGGTCCTGTGACTGAGGCCACGTCCTCCTCGGCCCCTGCGAGGACTTCCTGCGCACGGCTCTGAGGCCTGCCCAAGAGAAGGCCGCTCCGTAAATGCCCTGAACCTCTTCCCAGGGCTTAGTTCTCATCTCCCCCCGCCCCCCCCCCGCCGAGACCGATGAGGCGGTCCGTGAGGGCTTTTCACTGCTCAGCAAGTCTTCTTGAGCACATGCTGAGGGCCAAGCATGCACCAAACGTGGAGGCAGAGGAAGAGACGACTTCTCAGGCAACTGAAAAGCCATCTGTTTCCACACAGCGTGGCGGGGCCGACGAGCCGCTGGCCCAGCACTGCGGGTGGGGAAGGAAGCAGGCCGAGAACATGAGGACGCGGCCCTAGTGGGAGACTCCCCAGAGACAACATGGTTTAGTGTCGCCCGAAGCAACCAACTGGGCGTGGCACTCCCTGGCTGGTCCAGCATGTCCCCAGCTAGACATCGGCTACGTGCCCACACAGCAGGGCCTGAGGACGCAGGCCACCAAGGTAAGCTGAGCTGCTCCGAGGACCCCTAAGGAGGGACGGGCCCAGCCCAGGAGGAGTCAGGGGTGGGAGAAGCTGGAGGACCACGAGATACTACCTGCTGGTGTCCCAGGACACGAGGGTGGAGGACAGGACTGTAAAGCCAGGAGGAGCCCTGACTCCCTGGCTGTGACGGCAGGAAGAAAGTGGGACAGCGAAGAAGCAGGTAAGCGTGTGGCAGTGGCTACAAGCCGAGGGCGCTCCTATTAGACGCCGCCTGGAACGCAGGGGGCGCGGGAGGCTCTGGCGCGCCCTGCAGCAGGGCTGCCTGCGAGGGCAGGGGCTCCAGGACAGCCGGGCGCTGCCTGCGGCACGGCGGTCTGAGGGGCAGTAGCCTGTAGTGACACCAGCCTGTCGTCCTCCAAAACACCAGGAAGCCACGCAAGCAGGCTGGCTGGGGCCGGCTAGAGGTTTCAGTAGGAGTGCGGGGCCCTGCTGGGCAGAGAGGGTTGGGGCGCGAGGTCTCAGCAGGGCAGGGCAGGGGCGGGCTTGGAGCAGGACCGACACACACAGGCCAGGCCCGGACCGCCGCCTCCCACTTGGCCCCTGGGAAGCTCAGCCCAAAGCGTGAAGGCCGGACACCAAGAGGGCCGTCTCCTGGGCTGGGGCAGGAGCAGGAGAGGCGGGGTGGAGGTGGTGGAGCTGACGCAGGGCCTGGGGCTCGGCCACACCGCTGGCTGCTGGGCTCCTCAGCAGTGCTGCCCTGAGATGACAGACGTGACAAGGAAGCACTCTTCCCGCTGCTGCCACTGTGGACCCCGACCTGAGACTTCAACCAGCTCCAACTCAGTCTGAGGGACGAGACTGTGCAGTAGCAATGACACAGCAGGACGGGGCGTCTCAGTCACCTGGGACAGTCCATGCCACCCAGACCAACTGTCCCAATGTCCTGTGGGTGCCCCCTAGTGGAGAATCACCACTACGGAGGCTCCTAAGGTGGCTTCCTGCTGTGAAAATAAGTTTGCTGCACAAAATAATTACACCACAAGGGGCCTTCTAATCCTGGACCCCCAACCCTGTGCTGGGGATACGGGGGCAGAAGACAGAGAAGTCAGCCGGCAGAGCCCACTGCCCTGCCCTCTATACCAGG